AAACTCACCAAAGAATCAAAACTCGAAGGACGAATTTATGGATCTGGCTCGAAGGACCGACATGTACGAGCTGCTTGTCTCGTACAGTAATATGTCAGAATATGTCAGGTGATATCAGCGAGATGATGCAGGGAGATGTCAAAGATGCTGTAGAAATAATACTCGACCGATACCACGGAGTAACTTTATTGTACTGAAAATTATAATTTACGCATTTTGCACGTGCCCAATGTAGGTTGTGACGTTGCATATTGTCGGTTGCACAATAATGTACGTTGATCCGTACCCTACTGTTCCTCTTGATCATTGTCACGTGTAAACTTATTAAAGGATAATTATACTACATCAGGAAAAGAAACTATTTTGTCGGATCTAAATCGTGTTATATATGTGTTAATAAAATTATTTCGTTTCATCAAACAAACCAACGTTTCGGGCCCTTTACAGGTTCACGGTCACGGGTCATTGAAATGGTCAATTTATCAATTAGTGATAATTGTTAATGCAAACTACCCTATTTTTCAGAATAGTTAGAAAAGTTATTAATTAAATACCCTATTTTTACATTTTCCAAAGAAAATTCCAATTTATGCTACATATGTTGTGCTAATTATTTTATTTTAACAATATGAATTTTTATTCTATTAAGTTTATTGTTAATTAATAATGATAATTAGAATAAATGGTACTTCATTATGAATTTTATCAGAAGTTTAAACGTATAATATTGATAGATTTTGACAGAGTTTGTCACGAAGTCTGTTGTATAAATTATACCAAACTGGAATTAGGGGCGTAACGTACAATTGGTTCAAATCTTATCTAACTAATCGATTTCAATATGTAGAAATCGAAAATACTGTCTATGAGACGGGCAAAATCACACAAACCAGATCTGATAGAGCTCTTGCGACTGGCTCTATCCCACAAGGTGGCGTTTTGGGATGCATTCTGTTTCTCATCTATATAAATAATCTCCCAAATATACTAGATGATCTATGTGTCCTCTTCGCTGATGACATTTCTGTCTTAATCACTTACTCTAATATTAGAGATCTAGAAATAAAACTAAATTTAACATTAGATAAAATTGTAAACTGGCTAGGTATACACAACTTGCAACTCAACCTCAACAAAACTAAAATTATCCAATTCAAGCCCTATCAAAAATCAGCATTACAAATATCGTATAAATAAATAAATACTAAAATAGAAACTGTAAATTCTGCTACATTGCTAGGAATAGATCTGGATTCACATTTGAATTGGAAAGAACATATACAAAAAATACTAAATAAACTATCTTCTTTTATTTATGCACTTCAAACGCCTCAAACGTGTGACAGACTACAGGACCGCCCTTGCGGCTTCGCAATCGTATGATGTTATTTTGTGGAGAAATTCCTATGATGTGGACAAGGTGTTCATACTGCAAAAAAAGTGTATAAGGATAGTAACGAATATAGACCAAATGGAATCTTGTAGACCTCATTTTGTTAAGTGTAAAATACTGAGCGTTACTTCTCTCTACATTCTCGAGTCATGTAAATTTGTTAGGAAGCACCCACAGTTTTATTCACGTCTAACGAACGATAAACGAAATAACAGAAACTTAAACAAGCTTAGAGTACCTTTCTCCAAAATGAAATTAGTTACGTCTGGCCCGCACACCATGTTAATTAGAATTCATAACCACATACCAAATTATATCACAAACCTGGAAAGACTTACACAATTTACTAAAGAACTAAAGGCATTTCTTGTTAATAAATGTTATTATGACTTACATGATTTTTTTGACGATACGTATGATGACAAATAACAATAATAATACAAATAAAAAAAATTTCGACATCTCTTATTAATAATTATTGAAATTAATGTATTGTATAAAGTCTGCTTTCCATTACTAATTAAGAATAGTGCAATGTAATAATGTGATATAATAATTTAATGTTATGATATTATATTGTAATGTAATAATTTAATAAAATTAAATAGTGTGATTTATGAATTTAGCCCTCAGATGTTGCTGTGCCCTTGCACGGCGTCACATGTATACCATCAATTAATGTTCCATCTTAAATTTGTAATGTGACATGCATGAAACAATTGAAGTTGAAATTGAAATTGAAGATTACATTACGAATGAATGATAAATTTAAGTATGTGTTTTTAAGTTGCAAGGCTCTTAAGTAAACTATATAGTTACGTTTTAGTGTTCTTCATAAATGAAATACTGTTTATTGTGTTATATATGCAATAGGAATGAAGTTATTTTAATGTCTCATTAATTTACATATAAGAAGTATGATTATAATAACATTCATTCTAATTCTTAATAAAATAAGTTGGTAATTGCTACAACGCGCTAGAACTGTCAATAGTTTTGGCCGGAATGGCGGCGGACGAAGGAATGTAGTGGTTTTCCGGGAAGAATATATTGTTTTATTGTGTGTCTCTTAGAGGACGGAAAAAAATAAAGGAAGTGTCTGCAGTTTTATTTAACCAGAAGAGTTTTCAATATATAGTAGTCATCGAGTATATACTGGTTACTTATATACTCGTTGAAAATTGAAAATTGAAATTTGAAAATTGTCGTTTGTTTGCCTCGGCGACATTGTAACACAACTTATTAGCATGCGAGGTAGGTACTAGTTCACTTCATTTCACTGGTTAACTTATTCTACACTTAAAATTTAGCACAACATGTAGTTTTTGACATGCGTGGAAAATTTTAGGCAAGCCAGTGAAAATGGAGTTATATGGACACCTCGCCACTGGTAGACAGATGACAGAAACCTGTAAACAATTGATGGGCACTTTTCCAGGAGACCGTCCTGGTGGGATTTTGAAAAAGTGAGCGAGTACTAATGCCCCCATTCCAGATTAAATACATAACCCTCTCAGTACCTATTAGTAGCAATAGCAGTGGTTGCCTTGTTTGTTTGCCGCACCTCCAAAGTCTGCACATAAAGTTTGTTTCTGAAGCAAACAATCAACTCAAATATTTATGCAGGTTTCATTGCTGTCAAGATTTTGCCGTTCAAAAACAAATTTCAATGACATTTTAGTCGTTCTGACTGTAAATTTCTTCTACGAAGAATTTTACCAAACGAAACGTTAGCTCACGGACAATTTACAATTGAAACTGTATTTCGGTCTTTTTGATCGATGATAATGGTTTTTTTATAACATATAAGCGCGCATTTGACCTGCGTCTCGCCTGATGGTAAGTGAGAACGACGTCGACGATGGCGTACGCACATACATAAATAAAGTAAATACACAATTAAAGGCCCAAGTTCAGGGAATGAGTCTTCAGACGGAATTCCACTCCATAGCCGTCCGTGCGAATCCTTGGAATATCCACAACGTAGGGGTCGAACTCGAGTCTACGTCTAGCCCCTGACGGCGAAAAAGTGGGCGGAATTAAATCGTGTAATACCATCGTACATTCTCCGTGATATATCCTGTAAAATAAGTATAAGAAAATAAGGATAAAAATGTATAAAATAAATCATTCTTCTTTTACACATTTTTATCCTTATTTTCTATGATATAGATGTAGATGATAGAAAGTTCTTTTTTTACAAACTAAAATTTTTCATTTCCAGCATTTTAACATAGGCTGTCCTTTTGTATGTTTAGGTATTCCCCAGATTGACTTTACCTAAGTTCCTGCTGACAGGGCCTGTTTCAGGTGATGTCGTGAATCGGTATGCGATAATAAAGCGGTACTTTTGGATGGTTCGCACGAAGGAAATATGAAGTAAAGAAGGAACACCTCTCCTCTGCATTCGTCTCTGGGCAGAATTATTGACTCCATGGAAATGATATCAGGGTAAGAGTCGTAGGAATAATAATAATAATAATAATAATA